TACTTGGCGGGACTCACAGTAATATTCATTGTACCAAATTCTTGACAAGAAATACATGTATATAGATCCAGTAATTAAAGTAATTTTCAAATCTTTCAGTGCACTTTACCGTTTCAATACTTAACAGGACCCTCATTTTTCTTGTAAAGACCCTTTAAATTAATTATTGGGGTTCCTGGACCCCCAGTTTTGTAAGTCAAAGTAAAACCCTGTTTTCAATATTTGATGTCTTATGCTCTCTAGAGATGTTCCTGTCCCTTTTGTTGTGTTGACTACACCCAAATCTTGAACTGAACTTAAGACCAAAATATTGAAAGCTTAAAGTTTGGACCTCACATTCTTTTTCAGAGGTATGCATAGATTTGAATCTGGCTTTAACAATACCACTGAAGGATTCTAAAGAGTAATTAACCATGTGTTTGATGTTTCGTTTTAATGTCAAATGGTCATTAAGTCCGCTCATTATTGATTTATGCAACACTGATTAATATGGCTTCCAGTATGTTGTAATACTGTTGTGCTTGAACATACATGTGCTCATGTTTGTAGATACACAAAGGCTGGAATATGATTATGATTGTATTACTGTATCATTTAAAACAAATCTATTTTGAACACAATCTAATTTAAACAATCAAAAACACTTAATGTCATTTGTAAGTCCTCATTGTATTATGAATATTTTTGCATTCATTGATATCCCTTAAGCATGGTAAGAAATCCTTCACATGCCTTTGCTCCACCACAAGTAGAGGATAGACCAGTATATGTTTCCCTTTGCAGCGGTGGCAATGTATTATCGCATGGATGTACACCTGGAAACCAGTTAGTAGTGTGGTGGCAAACTGCCACACCTATCTTTAACATTTAATAAGCGAAAAACATTCTTCCATTGACCCTCCTCTCTCCACAATTTCTGCTTAGATGATGCAGTAAATGGTTTCAAATGGGATAATTCTGTTCAGGAATGCTTCCATCTTTTCAGAGCATTCCATGTATATCCAGGCTGCTTGTCTGTCATTACCTTCAAAGAATGGTTTAATTTACCTAGCGGTATGTTAATGTCTTTATGCCATAAGGTGCGTGTTGTCAGGTAAGGTATTTTGGGTTGCACATAGGATGTTAATGTGAATACCTTATCATATTGCAGGTATAACATTTTGAAACAAGGATGACAGCCTCCCATTGAGTTATTCAGAGTAGTATATAGTAGATATTAGCATAAGAGTAACTGAACAATTACTTATTTACTTGAGAAGTATTTTTGCTATTCCATAGACTTTTGGGTGACCATTGCTTTGATGATGTTTATTATGATATTTTTCTACTTTTGTCATCTCTAAATACTTTAGAACATACGGCAGTTGTAACTATTTCTTCAGTGCATTTTTCAGTTGAGAAAACCATCATATGTAGTTATGTTGCTTGTGTCTATGTGTCAGCTGTGGTTTTACATAAGCATGAAGTCATTACATCTTCAGTTAATGTAAGTAACCAGACGAATGTTTAGTATATCTAGACCGCACCCGTGGTCTAGTCTAGTGGTCGATCCCCGGCCGCGTCATACCAAAAGACGTTAAAAGATGGTACTTGTTGTTACCCGGTCTGGTGCTCGACATCAAGGGGCTAAAACAAGGACTGGTCGGCTCGGAGTCAGTATACTGTGTCTGAGTGGGGTATTCATGTTAAACTGCGGCATGGTATCTCAGTGAGCTAGCACTATAAATCGGCATCAGTCCGCACTAGTACAAGCATCCACACACACGTGCATGCACGTCCCTATATAAGTGCAATAATCTTGGACGAGATGTTAGTATATCTAGTGTGGTGATGATATAGTACAGTAAACCACAGTTACACAGAACTCAAAGTAACCACTAATTTTAGTTCAGTATAAGCATATGAAGAGCAAATGGATGGGACAAAAAAACACTTTGTTATATCCGTCTGTTCGTTATAAACATAGTTTGCTGTATTTGTTTATCAAGATGCAGAAGATAGTTAAATGCCATTATGATATTAAATCTGAAATTACTCAGATATACATGATTAGGTCAGTTAGCTTCATGAGGACATTTGTTATATCATCAGTATTTATCACTCATGTCAGTCTTTTAGCTGATTTGAAGATGTACACTGCATGACAAAACACTGTGTCATGCCTCTTAAAGTCTGTCTTACAGACCCGGGGGGCACGGGTGGCCCAGTCGTCTAAGGCGCCGTGATTCGCTGTGCAGAGTTGCATCCCTTGGGTACGCCAGAAACCTATGATTGTGGGTTCGAATCCCAGTTCGCCCCAATTATGTTTCTAGGTTTGTCAGCACCATTCCCGTGCTCGTGGGTTTCACCGAAGTGGTAAACGTCTGAGACCTGCATCACTACGGGCTTTCCTCCCACATCAAGCTGACACGCCGTGATATAACTGGAATACTGTTAAAAGTGGCGTTAAACCCAACTCGCTCGTGCTCTTACAGACCCTGATACAAATACATATCAAATACAGCCCATGCAAGTCTATAATGTTTAGATGTTAGTCTATGCCTCTCAATGCATTGTTCTTTTAAGATTTGAAAGAGTGTTTCAAAAGTTGTCCAATCAAGGTTACAACATTCAATCCCTCACTAAACTTTCTAAAGGTTTATGGTAGACATGTGGAGGACATTTCCAAATTGCTGTCATCACTATCTGATAGTGATGCATAAAGACAGTGACTCAGTTTCCTACAATCAACTCTTTTTTATTTGGATAGGGTTTTATATTTTTTTCTTTGTTTGTTTTTTCCTTCATTCTTATTCTTATCATCATCATCATCATCATCATCATCATCATCATACTTCATCATGATACTTGTTACATTATAGCTGAAATATTGCCTATGTGACATAAAGCATAAACTCACTCACTCATCATGATAAATGTGATAGTTCCATTGTGAAGTTGTGTGTATGTGATCTTAGTGTAAAATTTGACTCAAATAAATTAAACTATCAATCAGTACATGTTTGTAGACCTGTTAATGTGCAAATAAGTAAAACAATTTCTAAAAGTATATGTGTTCATGCAGAATGCAGCATATATGGCTTTGTTGAGGTTAACAACATGGTGCATAGTTGAATTGTTTAAGCATTAGTCAATTACGTCAGTTTGGTATCTATGTTTTTGCTTTGTCTGCAGAATTATTTGCTCACAAAGAGAAAAATAATTTTCTCACTGCCGTCTTCCTTAACACTCTTATGTCTAACTGCCAACACATTACAGCTTTAAAAATCATTCATCACAAATACCAGGTTAAACCTGTTACCAGATTGCACTTCAGAACAGCTTGAATCTTGTCAGCCTTTGGACTCTTGTAACTCCTTGGAATCAATGCAATCTTCAAGGACATTGATATGTTTATCAGCTTGAAAGCGATATTATCATGTTTTCAAGGAATGAATATTAATTCTGACTATCTGAAGCTGCCTCAAGCTGCCTCAAACATGTGCCTTGAACAATGTTATTTAGAAAACCCAAATCATTACCTCAAAGTTCAACATGAGCTAGACAGCAAAATAATTATGGTTAGGTAGTCGTTATTACTATTATTGTACCAATGAGTTAATAATCACAACCCACCCAAATATAGCCAAAACATAAAATGTTTATATTTCAATGAGGGAAAACAGTGTTGAAGAATATTTTACCAGCATCCGAAGTGGAGCAGCCGATGTGACCTGCCCTTGCAAATCATAAGGGATGCCTTATTTTTCACTTGTTTGTGCATGTACTTCTAGTTACGTCTTCTATTGCTCATCGATTGTTACCTCAGATAGACTTATAGGACCAGCAAAAGCTTTTCCCATGAACATTCCATTTGTTTCAGTCATAGACTCAAGTTTGTGTTTGTTTCCTTTGTTTTCATATGGCACAGTTGTGGCCATGGTTCTAGCGCTTTGCTTCCAGTGTTTACAACATCAAAACAATCCAGTAGGAGTGTAACGATTTGACAAATGTTAACTGCTTGTGATAGGTCATATATCAATACAAGATGAAATATCAATATGATATGAAAAATAATTGTGAAATACTACGTGTGGACCTCTCCAATGTTCGCTGGGCTATTTTAAGCTAGCTCAGTGACTGCACAGCCAACTGTACTAAATTTTATCAAACTTGTCTGGCTCAAGAACCTTTCTCATAACCTCTCATAGATTGAGTACCAGATATAAAGTTATCTATACGAAAAGATATATACTTACACAATATATAACAAACTCCAAATGGAGCCCTTAACTTTCCACATCATTTTAGACTTGATTTGGTTTTATGTTCTTTTGAATACATGTTCTACTTGGAAGCCATGCTTTCGTGTCATTTCAAGAAGACCATATTAGCCAGAAAACTGATAAGTAAGCATTTATAACCCTCCCCACATCCTTACATATTTTCTTTTCATAGATGAAATATAACATATATATTCATGAAATTATTATGAAAAGTTTACCATAAATGTATTCAATGCATTTATTACTTTGCTTGAATTCAACACATTCATTCACAGTAACTTCCTTGTTAATTATATATGAATACACCCATGGAAAATTGCTTATTTGAATATAAAACAGGCTGATATTTTTATCGGAAGAGATACATGATATCAAAATATTGATTTTAACAGCATCTATATAGTTGCTTTTGTTCATGTTGAAGCTGTTCTTGTGCACTATTTTTATTAATTGGACATACAGATCCTGTGTGTTTATAGTGTTGGATTAATTATATTGGTACTCAGTACTATAGATTTACACTGCCTTTGCTGATCCCTCTCATGATGCTTTACTTCAGGGATACCTTGGTCTTGTGAGTCTTATTATGAAAGTTATATCTAGAGTATATAGAATAAAATGAGCCTTTAAAGGGTTAGTAACAGCTATTAAATCTCTAGTACCATAGAATCTGGTGATCTCTGGGTCTTCCACTTGTATGACAGGCTGAATGCTAAGTTTGGACTTTGTTGGCAGGTGTTTGTCTAGAAGCTATTGGAGAAGCCAAAGTGGAATGGATGACCTCTAGTGACATACAGGCCTCAGACGAGGAGGTGTTCAACTATACAACTGTGCTGCCAATCAAAGGTAATTATGGTAACAATGGCAATACAAACGCCAAAACCCTTTCCATAATCATAAGAAATCCATAGCACTTGTACAATTCCGTACGATTCATCAATTTACTACATATAATCTTCAAAGATTCTACTTCCTGAAATTAGTTATCTTCGGATTCACCAGTGTGTCTGAAGAGGATTATCCCTGATGGATCAGGACACTCTAATAATGATCGCAGCATGTACTCAAGGCATAGAGGTCATGCATCTTCAGCCCTCTCTACCATGTGCTCAGCTTAGAGAGGCTGAAATGAATTAATTGAGGTTATTTACATGCCTGGGAACATGTTCAATCATTGGAAGCAGCAACAGGTGCACTCTTCTTGTGAGTACACATTGTATCATACCGGCCCTCAGTCAGGAGTCGAACACCTTTATAGGTATATGGTTTGATTATCATGGTCATCTTAGACACCTGTATGATGTACTGAACAACAAGCTTAGGGGTCATGAATATTTGGGGCGATATTATTATGAAGCAGTGTCCTCCGTCTTCACTACTAAAAAATATGCCTCCAAATATTCATGGACCCTAACCTTTTTTGTTAAGTATATGTGTAGGAACCCTGGAAACAATAGTATATTTAAAATGTAAGCTACCGTATTCGACATAATAAGCGCCCAGGGCGCTCTCAAAATTAGAAATAGGGGGCTATTATAAGAATATCATTTTGGTGAAAAAAACAGAGTTGAAACATAAATTTCATGGTTTATGCTGACAGCCTGAAATGTTTATGTACGACAGAAAGATAGTGTTATTCCAGAATTTAATTGCCCATAATTAAGGGTGCATATAACACACGAGTGCGTTCTATACGCGAATAAATAAGTCTTGTGTACATTCATCAATCGGAAGGGGTGCTTATTGGGATTGTTCACTGGCCAATATGTTTGCAAATGTCGCCGTGGGCGCTTATTACGTCGAATACGGTATGTATTGCAATACACATTCAGAATCTTTTACCTGAAGATGTCACAAATTACTCCTTGCATTTCTCCCTTCTCAGCTGATCCTTGAACGATACTTGAACCCATTTCCAGCTTCAAAAAACATGTATCCACTCAACTAATTCAAATACCTGCCTAGCAGGATACATGTTATCACTATAGATGTATAATTGAAGTAATGGTATGAAGATATTTGATAAAAAAAATAATTTAGGCAAACAATAGAAGTTCTGACACCCAGGCAGCATCACTTTCCTGAATCAATTATTCTACAGTATCATGTATGAAGTATTAGAATATTTGATCAGCTTCAAAGGTTTGGCTCTGAAAAGTAGAACCACTATTATCCTTGAACATTTACCCTCTTCCACTTAGCTGCATGATGTAATACTGCAAACACGACAACCAGGATTCATGTTGGTCTTTTGATCCAAAACCTGGGTACGTTTTACGTCATCGTTTCTCGTAAAGTGTTGGGAATGGAACTGTATTGCACTGTTGGATCAAACTAGTTTTTTATGACTAAGGTGTGTGTTCCACCACCTGCAGAAGGCAGTCTGTGTTGAGACTGTTTGATGGATCCTGGGTTCTCTTTACTTGATTAGCATCAGCTCATTGATGGAATCCTGCAGCAGTGTATAGCCTCCAAGATGATATCCTTGTCAGATATATTTCATTGAGCTGTAAAATAATCTTTTGATAGGAGGTGAAAAAAAAGATAATATATTTGCCAAGAAGGGAATATCTTCAAGGATGTAATACTTATTCAAGGAAACATTTCTTTCATTGATTGCTACTATTCTCATTAATATTATATTGACAACTGTATCAATTTTCTCCTTTCAGCAGCTTGTTCTATAATAGTAATACTTTGTTGCAATGCCTTTGTATCTCTATGGTAGCAAAATCCTAGGGAGACTTGATTAGGAGAGATTTTGCTTTTAACATGTATGTAGTGTACAAACTGCACAATCATGCAATGTAAAAACAATGTCAGAACCTGAAATGTATTACCATATGATTAACAGGTAGCATAGCAGAGTTTGAGGTTGTTACTATTGGCTTTGGGTGAGCAATTCCATGCTGTAGCTTACCTCTCACTGCTCTAATGTTCTACAAACTGACTGCTCCAGTGATTTGGGTGCAGGTAGTTTAGAGAGTAGTTCCTCTTGATTATTTATAAGGACATTTAATAAATCTAAGAAATACTTTGAGCATTAAGCTATTTTGCTGTATCATCATCATTATCATCAGCGTGCACGGGTGACCCTGTCGACAAAACATGTAGTTTGTAATTCTTTTTTTTCATGTATTATGTGACAGCGCACTAGTGTTATAAACAGTTATAACACTAGTGTTATTTTCTTTATATCCCATGGGGGGCACGGGAGTCCTCTACGGCGCCTAGATTTGCTGTGCAGAGTTACATCCCTTGGGCAGGCCAGAAACCTATAATGGTTGTGGAACCGAATCCCTGTTCACCTCAATTATGTTTCTAGGCTTGTCAGCACCATACCTGTGCTCATCGGATTTACCAAAGTCGTAAACATCTGAGACCTACATCATTTTGGACTTTCCTCCCACATCAAGCTGACATGCCGTGATATAACTGGAATATGGTTCAAAACGGTGTTAAACCAAACTCACTCACTCATTATCATCTTGTATAGTATCATTCAAAGTGAACAACTGCCTCACTAAACTGGATTGGTTCGAATTCATTTTCTAGGACTCTGAATGATTGACATCATCTAAAAGTCTTAAAATTATTTTTCAATATAAGTAACGGTATAGGAGAATGTCCTATCAAAATAAGCAAAATTTATGAAAAATGTCCTGGTAACATATGTCTCTTGCAACATTACTGCCTAAATTTTAAAAAAGTAATACAGGAATAAGAGGGAAGGTATGTGTGTTTTAAAGAATTGTGTATTATAAGACTTAAGCACTTTTCATAACATTTTTCAGATATTAAACTGGAACATATTCCAACAAATTTAGAAGGTGAGTGTGATCACATTAATAAATTCAAGGCTCATTAAATAGAAAAATGTGATCACGTGATCATCTTTGTTGAGTATGCACTATTCAAATTAGCTGCCAGGAAATTATGCACTTTAGTCAAGTAGAATCTTACAGTTGTGTTATTGGATTAAGAAGGCAATTGATTACCACACTATTCTTTTCCTTTCAGGTGAAAAACAAATTGATGATGAAGGATTGTTACATCCAGGATCTCATTACTTTCCATTTGAATTTGTTCTTCCATCAAAACTGCCATCTTCATTCAAGGGAAAGCATGGCAGATTGCGGTATTTCGTGAGAATGACAATTTATTCCCCTGGTGGGCCCCATCACGAAAGAACAAGTAAATTCGCGGTTATTGGAGCCTTGGACCTCAACTCTGAACCCGATTCTGCAGTAAGTGTTCATATCAGCCTGTTGACAGTGGTCTGCATTCCGAACACTGTTTAGTTAACCAACATGAAGCTTACACATTTGTGCTTTATTGTTAGTGTCACTGTTATTTTCAACCCATAAGTCCCTGTGCAAAGTATTTATTAGACTAACGCTTACTCTCTGAAAATATTAAATTTTGATAGAAAACATTACATTAAAAGTATGATTATCATGGGCTCTATGTTACTGTGGTATCAGTAAATCTCATAATCCACACTCCATGTCAACTGTCTACTTTGGGAAGCCTATAAAGCAAGGGTTTCATCACTTGATCAAATTCTAGACTCCTTGCAGTATTTCACGGCTACTCAAAAGTATACATTTTTTTATGATAGTTTCTGGAATGTTTATGAAGTGGAATTGCCCCTACCTCCATTCATAATTGGTTAGAAAGGAACCTATTTATTTGGACGATGTCCCTTAACCCAACCTAATTCGTATGCATACTGATTATGCATAATCCCCAACAGGAAGTGATGTAAACCACATATTCCGACCATATCACACCACAAAATAGTGATACCACGATAATATAGTGTTGCCCGCCCTTGAGTCGCTTATGACAGGTATTCTGTTTACCAATCTCACTGAAGAAAATCAGCATCGATCAATCCTAATTGATGTGTCATTAAAGTTTAACAAAGTAGAAGAAACATTTTGGGTATGACATATTTAATAGGTTAGTAAGCGTGTGCCATTAAATCCATTATAAATTAACTACCTTGATAAAATGGTGTACCATATGTATTTGAAAAGTAGCCCCGGCGAGATATTAGAGATTCACATTCCTGAACCTGAAGAAAATCTAGACTTGTATCATTTAGGTTTTTTTTAGGGTTACCAAGAGGACTGGGCGGAAGGGAAAACAATATGGTCCAGGGACAGTGAGACAGACTAAGTGTTTATAAACATCCGAGATGTCAGTTTCCTCATTTTCTCCTATCTATGCAGTTGTCAGTATTTTCCATGTCCAATGTATTTCCTGCTCTTTGTTAATCCATTTTGTATTTTAAAAAATCAAATATTTTTTCGTTATTAGGTATATTAATTATTGTACAAGTGTGTGTGAACTAATCAGACAATCATACAAACTGGCAACTCATAGTGCTGCAGCTATTAAGCAGCTCTTGACAAACCGTTATCTCCACTACTTATACTGTGCACTGATTTAAAAGCAACTATTGAAAGTTATACTCGATATCGCATGCAAAAGAGGTGGGACACCCAGGTAGACTCTGTAAAATACTTCTCTGAATTTTTTCAGACTAAGGAGCTGAACTTGAACTGACCTGTATGTTTTTCCTTGCGATGATTATCATTTAAGATTTTTATGTCAGTTTTTCCTGAGTATTTATATCAACGTCGACAGCAATTTTTCTTCAAGGCTACTTCCAGTCCCTCCATCATGTAGTAGCCTCGAACGTTGTGTAAGGACTATTGTTGTAGTAATAGACAACATTGGTCTCTAGGGGTCGTTCTTTTATTATGTATAGCATATTTATTATTATTTATGTTTGATGAACACTCCTTTTGTTGACCTGTCTCCTTGATTTCCTGCAGCTGCCAGTGGAGAATGACACATTTGAGGCGGTTGGATCCTGGTGCTGTGTAGCTGGCACAGTCACTGCAACACTAAGACTTGATCGGAAGGGTTACACACTTAAGGAAGCCATCCCTGTGTGGGCGGAAATAAAGAACTTAAGCACACGGAGGATAGCAGCCACACAAGTATCACTAATACAGGTAGGTATGTGCTTCCAGGAGTTACGTACGTCTGTAACTATAGCTGTTACAGAAATGTATAGTTGAAATGATCATGTTTGTTTCGGAGGCGTTTATAAGAGCAATAAACACAACTGCATTGGTTTAGCTTATGTGCAGGAATATTTCAAACTGTGCCAGCAGATATTGTCTGACACATGTTGAAGCTTGTAGCTCACCTGTCCAAAGATCTGAGTGAACTTTATTTGTCATGGTTACTTGAAACTCATCCACTAAGGGGTGTTTGTATAGGTTTATACTTTATTGCTGCAAAGTAACAAGTTTTGTCTTTATGGACATCATTGAATTGGTGAATAGATCAACTTATAATAAGACAGATTAATATGTCAAAAACATTACCCCAGATAACATTAGTCAACTGTTAACATGTTTTGAGGTCCTCAGGTTTTTCATCTAAAGTTTCTCATTCACATGAGCAAGAGATGTATTACTGCTCTAGTGTATTGCCATTCCTATTATGGACAATTATAATCTGAATTTGTTATAAACATGTTTAAATATGAAAAATGTAACCCCCCAAAACATGCTATTATTAACATGTTCATTAATTAAAATAAGCAAAAGATAGTTTAGTATTTGTGATGGTTGGCATTTTGAAAGAAATTACAAGAAGAAAAATTGTTTTTGTAATAAAGAAATGTATCTATCAGATTAGAAAAGAATAGCTTACTTTCCCTGTTTTACTTGCCTGTATAATGTAAAACGTCTCAGCAAATATCGGCAACTGTTCTTCCAAAGGGTGATTCTCCTTCTACGCGCTTGACAAGAAGAAAGTTGGGGAACTGAATTTAGTAGCAACTTTAGCTGATCTCTTTTTAGCAACCTGAACCAACTTCCAATTTGCAATTATGTTGCAAACATGTAAACAAAGTGACAACAACAATGATAAGCAACTGTCATAAACTGTGCCAAAGAAAATACAGCCTTGCAACTCAAGCAGGCAACATCTGGCAATCCTCAGCACCGTCTTCTTTTTTCTGTGCCAAGTTGAAAGAGTGTTAATTGTCTGTCGACCACTGCATTTGTCTATCAAACTTGTTTTGGCAATTTAAACTCTGTTTTTAGGACAAGATCTTATCTTGACAATTGAAGGAGTTTGTTCTGTTACAGAAATGCATAATATGCATCAATCTTGAATTATCTTTAGGATAATGTATGAGATGTTGGTGAGGAATTGCAAAATCAATGTAAAAGAGTTGGAAGTGTTGAAGTGAGTAGATGGAGTGGTAATGAAAAGTGCAAATAAACTGTCATGGTTCAAACCACTGACTGACATGCTCATCCACAAAGTGGAATTTATACCACTTCTTACAGTATTACTTCAGAATTTCATAATAATTTGCATCTGTTTACCAAACCTTGAATCCTTGAAAAAGTTGTGTTTACATTGTATTTTTGTAAGCTATTTATATTCAATGGCAGCTTAAGTAAACAGATATATTTTTCTCAACTTTGATATCAATCATGAAATTTAAAGAATTAGAAGTGCACTTTTTAAGATAATTATATTTTGAAATTGAATAAAAGATAACATGATATGACAATTTTCAAAAGATTAACTTATCTGACTGAGTTAAAATGGTCAATAACCTGTTCTGATCAAAGTAAGATTATTCAAAAGATAATGGAGACTTGCCAACGAACAATGATACCCCAGGTAATCATTATGAAATAATCGCAGCATGGACATCTGAAAGTTAGATTGCAGACTAAACACTCCATCTGCACATATTATTACAACACCCATCCCAATAACATCCAATCCAGATAACAATGATGTGGGAAGCTTTAAGCTGATACACATGCATGACCAAATGGTAAACCAAACTTTGCCACCTGCACCCTTGTGCTCCTTTGCTGCCAAGGGAGCCACTCAGCACATGCTGAAAAAGGTTCTTGTAGTTTGATATCTTAAACACCCCCACAGTGCGCTGCTCTCTTTATCTACAGGAGTTATGTTTTTGTTAGAGTTGTGATCAAGCGTTACCGCCACTGCTATGGTTAATGAAGACCCTCGTTTAATTCTCCTTCCCCTTACCCAGTGGTCGTGAAGGATGATTGCATTTACACATACCTGTCCTCATATGAAGTTCGTAATGATCTACAGCCGTCTTCAAGGTCAGCATTCTTCTCCATGCGTTCTTCATGTCCTACCTTTGTGGCTGGAGCATTCAGTTGTAATTAAGCACACATTGTATGTTTGTAACCATAAAAAGATGCTATGACAGTCTATGCCAAAAATGGTTCAGACTACCAGTATAAACATGGCTCATAGCATATTTTTCAGTAGATTTTAGTGTTATTATGTGGATTATTATTAGCTGAGCTTACTGGACCAAACAGGTTTATGCTAGACTCTGGTTAAGATTAGTGGCTAAAGTCGCTGACTGCTACGGTAACATGCTAGGCATCATGTTTTGAGGGCAATCCTTTTCAAGAAAATAGTTGTTTAACAGATGCTTTTATAGAGGAATTACAGAACACATGGTAACCTGAAAATCTTATATTTCCGGTCAGATAACTATGAACTCTGTAAGGTGTAAACATTTGGAATTTCAATTGGCTAAGGTCTTTAGTGATGAAAGAGTTTAATTTTCAGATGAAGTGAACGCACTCATAAAGCAATAACATGGACTATTTGTTACCTGAAATATTCAGGTTTTTGCTGTCAAGATGCTCATACTCTCATAAACTTCAAGAGTCTTTCACAATTATAAATATGGTACAGATTGTGATGAGTTTATTGCTAACTGTGAAAGTTTCACAAGTCTTTATGGCAGGAACTAACGCACTACTGTTACATTCCTCTTATATAAATGCTACAAAAGCCTTTATTACAGTACTTGTCACATCTAAGTAGATGAAATGTGGACAGGTTAAGAGCATGTCAAACAGTGCAGTGGCATGTCAAACAACACCATATGCTGACTAGCTGATGATGGCTCCTATCCAGACTCAGTAGGTAACAGGTGCTCTCTGGCAATGCTTGGCAGCACCTTCAAGAGTGAACAATAAAAATGCAAATGTTGAATAGGTTGTAGCATGTGGACATCTATAAGTGTTCAAAGTCAGGGTCAAGATCTGCTTGTTCCCATTCCTTATTTGTTCAGGAAAGTGTGTATTTCTGTTTTTAATTTTAGGTTAATCTAATCTCTGTTCCATCTATCTTCCAAAATGATTTGAAATTTCAGTACACACAACTTAATATCTTTTTGTGAGTGCATTTGTCATGCAATTAATGGATGATTGTGAATGATGAGCCATTATGAACAAAGTTCTCATTTCTTTAAACTGATTTAGGGCACTATGATTCAAAAATAAACTCACATTGGCATACATCAACTGAAAATAAACTCACATTGGCATACATCAACTGAAAATAAACTCACATTGGCATACATCAACTGAAAATAAACTCACATTGGCATACATCAACTGAAAATAAACTCACATTGGCATACATCAACTGAAAATAAACTCACATTGGCATACATCAACTGAAAATAAACTCACATTGGCATACATCAACTGATGTTCCATTATCTAATTGTGGTATACCACAGACTTGGTTATATAGGTCCATGGGTATACCTGATATATCTTAAGAAATGCAAGGTTAAAAGACAGCTGGTATTCAAATCAAGTAGACACCAACATCCAATATTGAGACATTGAAGTCAAAGATGTGAAGTCACTGACTGTGGTCATTTTGGTGTGCCAGTCTTCTTCACAATGTCCTGTATTGCCTTGTTCTGTACAGAACGGATGTCTGGAGGTGTGAAAATAATAAGAGCAAAAATTGGATTCAGGAATATGGTCTTTTATTTAAGATATTATTTATCAATTATGTGTTTTCTTTTCATCAATTTGTCTGGGCCTATTCAAAAGTTAACTATATTTTCTCACCATCATTGTTGGGTGATATAAGTGTACGTTTTTGCTCCATGAAAGACTTTCTTTTGAGTTTTGCAGTCACATTCGCCTCTTGATTTAATGGATACCTAGTTACTTATTGATGACTTCTAAGTGAAATCCTTTGAAGAAAGAACCTCATTATAAACAGCAATCATGAAAATACTGAAGTCAACATGTTGTGAATCTCAAAAGGAAGCAATGTCCTATTACTTAGTATAATCTGATTGGTCTACATTTTTATGTCATTTGCTAGATTTAGGAAAATTTGCACCAATGACTAGATAATGACTAGCAAACCTCTTTCTCAAGGAACACAACATGAATTAACTTGGTAGCCACAAAAGTATCAGTTTTAAGGATTCTATTGATAAAACACAGAAAAATAATGTGGTAAATCATCAATCCTAGAATAGAGACCAGCAATTATTTCATCATAAGTGAGCTATTCTTCTGATTCTGCTTCAAAGGCATCTTAATTAAGGTTTGAAGGTGAATTATTTCTTCAGCTTCTTTTGAAGAATTGGACTTGGAAATTGAAAAATGATGATGACAGTTCTACACGAAAGAAATGAACTCATTAGTGAGATGAAGGGTGACACTCCGTGAAATATTACAAGTAATTTAGATGTAACTATTTCAGGCAGGCCTCTTCAGCACAAGATATGGAAAAACAAAGTGTTTCGATTACCAGCTCTCAGACTAAGCTGTCTGTCAGAAGGATATCTTGCCAAAGGATGATTTAGTCTGGTGCAATTGTTTATTTATAAGAACATCTTGACCCACATTTTTTGTAATTATGATATTTTTCAGCCTTATAAATTAATGCATATATGATTATATTAACAATATACAGACATTAATAATGAAGATTTCTACAGATAGAGCAAACAGAATGTTCAGTGTTTCCAAACATCTTTGAAATCAAGAGATTGAAGTTGCAGCTAGGTAGTCCATGGGTCCATCTGTAAGATCTCAATTAATGTTTCAATAACCAATTTTCCAAGCAAGCTTGGGTTAATAATATATACTACTGATTTGTAGCTGGATGGTTTCTGTCAGCTAAATCTTGTCAAATGATAATGAGGTTTTTCCATACAATTCAATCATGATTTCACTATTCCATATAAATTACTCAGCTGACCACAATAGGTTTTTAAAAGCACCAAATCCTGCAGAAAAAATGGAAGTTATTCAAGTTCATATCACACAGACCTAACATGAATTGGATGTTTCACAAGTTCATTTCACACAGACCTAAAGTGAAGTAGGTTAATGATTTGTTATCAAGATGACACAATCCAAAAGATCAGACATCTTGTCTTCCTTGGTCATCTTAATCAAACATATTGAGAAGAAATTTTCTTTACTGGTAAATCATTCTCTTTTAACAAAATCTACCATAAAGACATGCAGTAACTCTCAGGTAAAAGTCATTGTTATGATAGGTTTATATATCAGAGTAACTATTCACAAGAAAGGTCATCTCATCACCACTGCTTTCTTCCAGAATGTAACCTACTATTCCTATCGAGGGAGATTTTCTGAGTCGACACTGCTAGTAACTGTCCATAAAGGCAGTATAGCCCCTCGTGGAAAACAAACCTGGCAGAGAGAGCTACTGAGCATTCCAACCGTCCCGCCTTCACATCTTAGAGGATGCAAGATCATTGATGTACAGTACAGTATAGAAGTAAGTTGTAGGACAACTTTGAGTTGTAACATACCTGGTATAACAGGTTGGTTGTATATGTAGATTGTGAAAAGTAATTCTTCAGTAAACATTCTCAAGAGATTTATACTCTAGAAGTGACAAACCATTCTGAATATTTTGGGTATATACTGTTTAAAGTCTCAGGGCATTACCTGGACTTACAAACATGGAGCTCCTTGGGACCCCCCAATGATTTATTTTTAGGGTATTTACAGGCAATATGAGGTGAGGTGAAATGGGGTTTAACGTCGCGTCCAAGATTATTGCACTTATATAGCAACGTGCATGCACATGTGTGTGTGTGGCTGCTTGTACTAGTCCGAACTGATGCCGATTTATAGTACTAGCCCACCGAGATACCATGCTACAGTTTAACATGAATACCCCACTCAGACACAGTATACTGACTCCGAGCCGACCAGTCCTTGTTTTAGCCCCTTAAAGCCGAGCGGCAGACAGGGTAACAACAAGTACCCTCTTTTCGTATGACGAGGCCGGGAATCGAACCCTGAAACTTCCGCTCTCCGAGTGGACGCTCTACCACTAGACCACAGAGGCAGTCCACAGGCAATATGAGGGTCCTGTAAAGTAATGTAAGGGTGTACTGTAGTGTACGTTTAGATAATCTACTTTAGAGCCTGGAATGTATCAATGATCATGTGGACAGTGGTCATGATTGATGGATGAAATAACAGACACCAATCACGGCTCTTGATGTGCTGAAGGTACACTGAATATTACTGAGCGTCCCTCATGCAGTATATTATTATTCTGTGTCCGTTTTCCACATTTGTGCACACTGGACACACATTTGTGCGTCGCATAAAACCCTGGAGATATCTTTTAAAGCATAAGTAGTGCTTGCTCGAATTATCTTTATGATGTTTTCACAATTTTGTGCTACCTGATGTCAATTCCATATCATACAAATTCTCATGAACCTCCCAGATAATGTGTCACTCAATCAACATGACAAAGCAAGTAATAGTTTCTGGTAATGTGAGCAATTACCTGATTATCTGCTCCTATACACATACCCACAGGTGATATCTTGGCACGAGGCTGACCCAGCAGCCACCTCAGAGTGTTACCAATTACTCCCCAAGTGATACAGACTTTTCCTCCTTTCAGTTATGTATAAAACCAGCAGGACTGGCCAGGAAGGTGAAGCTGCCAGTGGACATTGTCATAGGCACTGTACCTCTCCAAGATGCACAACATCGAGTCACATGTCACCCACTTCTTTCACCGAGTGACAACAGCTTCCCGTTTCCATTCTTCTCTGACAGCTCATCAGACCACCTATGTTTAACAGACATGTCCTTCCACAGTATGCTCCCAACAGCTCCACCCTGGGAGGAGGATGACGATATTCCCTGACCGAGCTCAAGGCACATAGGTAATATATATATCACATTTTGCCGGTTACTTTGATCCTTGAGTTCAAGGTACATAAGTAATATGTACCACATATTACCGGGTACATAGGTAATATATGCTACATATAACCGGGTACATTGATACCTGACCGAGCTCAAGGCACATAGGTAATACATATACCACATTTTACGAGGTACACTGATCATAAAAACTCAGACCCTGTAATATACAGTGGTTTGATCTAGCTCAGTTTTCAAACTCAGGACTTAAAGTAAGTTAGTATGTCACACCATACCTATGCTCGTGGGTTTCATTGACCTGGTAAATGTGCTGGATTTCTCCCACATGCTCTGATGTTGCTCAAAGCAGTTTAAAACTTGCTACACTCTCACTCACAAAGTTTGGTGCTGAACCTTGCATGAAACCCATATTTTATGCTATGTTTGTGTGTCTCTTTTCCCATTCTGGTCATGGATGGCTCAGTGATCTTACGGTGCCACATCTCACAGCAGAATCAGCAGGCAGTCGTTTACAGTGCCAGATTCACCCAAAGCCACTATCATATTCACGTTTCACCAAAGTGTTTGCCATTTCCACAATTTTTCTTCTGCATTACGATTGACTGTGTTTTTGTGATTGATACACCGTAAGAAACTGGTGTTAAGTAAAATCTAGGTATGATGTTGAAAAATCAAAGGTACCAGACCCAATTTGACCTGAAAGGATTTTTAGTTTACTTGTCTGTGCTAGACCTGTTGTTATTTGACCATTAACGTCCAGCCTGTTAACAACATGCTAATAAACAATACCATTTGGGGATGACACCAAGCTCAAGCTCAATACAAGTGTAAGCTATTTTTTACCAGCTTTGGCTCTAAGGCTTAAATTTTAGCATCTTTACTCTATACTCGGGCAGAGAATAATTTAGTGTTGAATGGTGAGGAGATAAACTTTTAAAGCTGCTGTTTCTCAGCTATTTGTTTTTTCCATTATGCTAATTCATCATTGGGATTGTTCTTCTCTTATCTGTTGTTCTGTGTCTAGGAGACCTCATTTGATGAAAATGATAATAATATAATACAGAAAAGACTGAAATCTGGTAAAAAAAATCTGTTTAAAAGTTCCATAGTATCAAAATTGTGTCTCAATAGTAGAAAGAAAATTGGCTCACGAAGCACTATCAAATACAGATAAATTCCTTGCAGGTCCTGTGAGACACATATTAAACTGTCGTAAATATCTTCAAAACGTGGAGTCATTTTAATGGAAAATTTCCCAAGAGGCTCTAGAGGGATATTGATCTCCTTGTTAATCAAGATTGAGAAAAGTTTAAGAGATTTCCCATTTCCACACTGTCAATAATGAACACAAAGCTGTCTTTATCAAGGCCTGATGGTCTGTCAGCCACCATAACCTCATTATTAAAGGCATTGTGTGAAGCAAACATGAGATGATAATCCCTGAACATCTATAAAGTGTAGTTTATGTCAGTTACACCAGCCTCTAAGCCTCAAGAATTCAGTCACTAAGTACTTGACTTCAATTTAAGTATTTAACTTTTTTGTATAAATGTGTATTACAATAACTGGGGTCCTTTCAAATTTTCAGGGGGTGGTTTTCATCCATAAAATGATGTTTGATATGTTCATGGTGTTACTATGCAACATTTATATCACAATTATGATCATTAGTGTTTCTGTAAAGCTCACTATTGTAGCAATGTTGAAAACGTCTTCTTTGCTTACTCATCATTTAAAATTCCAACATTTTTAGAATTAGATCTATAAATTCAGTTGAGCTAAAACAACATCATACCTTGGTGTTTCATGACACTCCTACAGCCGTAGAAACCAACATTTTTAGTCCACTGGTCAATATATTATATTTCAACATATAGTAAAATTAACTCGTCCTTATGATACCTTAACTATTGGGCAGTTTGGCAAGGACTACAGGACTAGTGCCAATTTCTAACGCTGTCCCGTAATAACTATGATGTTTTCAAAGTCTCAAATTGTTTTGACAATATTGGTCAGGTTTTTCAGTTTTCAGTTACAGGTGTGTGGTAAGGGTAGTAGAATTTGCATCTTCTAAGCAAGTCATGGAGTGATTATATACTGACTGAATACTTGTGAGTGAGTATGGTGTTACAGGTTCAGTAATGTACCTCCAGTATCATGGATGGGGCTGGTGTTACAGGTTCAGTAGTGTCCCCGCAGTATCATGGATGGGGTGGTGTTACAGGTTTAGTAATGTCCCTCCAGTATCATGGATGGGGCTGGTGTTACAGGTTCAGTAATGTCCCTCCAGTATCATGGATGGGGCTGGTGTTACAGGTTCAGTAATGTCCCTGCAGTATCATGGAAGGGGGTGGTGTTACAGGTTCAGTAATGTCCCTGCAGTATCCTAGATAGGGGTGGTGTTACAGGTTCAGTAATGTCCCTGCAGTATCATGGATGGGGTTGGTGTTACAGGTTCAGTAATGTCCCTCCAGTATCATGGATGGGGCTGGTGTTACAGGTTCAGTGATGTCCCTCCAGTATCCTGGATGGGGGTGGTGTTACAGGTTCAGTAATGTCCCTGCAGTATCATGGATGGGGGTGGTGTTACTGGTTCAGTAATGTCCCTGCAGTATCGTGGATGGTGTTACAGGTTCAGTAATGTCCCTGCAGCATCATGGATGGGGCTGGTGTTACAGGTTCAGTGATGTCCCTGCAGTATCATGGATGGGGGTGGTGTTACAGGTTCAGTTATGTCCCTGCAGTATCATGGATGGGGGTGGTGTTACAGGTTCAGTAGTGTCCCTGCAGTATCATGGATGGGGTTGGTGTTACAGGTTCAGTAGTGTCCCTGCAGTATCATGGATGGGGGTGGTGTTACAGGTTCAGTAATGTCCCTGCAGTATCATGGATGGGGTTGGTGTTACAGGTTCAGTAGTGTCCCTGCAGTATCATGGATGGGGGTGGTGTTACAGGTTTAGTAATGTCCCTTGCAGTATCCTGGATGGGGGTGGTGTTACAGGTTCAGTTATGTCCCTGCAGTATCCTGGATGGGGGTTGTGTTATAGGTTCAGTAATGTCTCTGCAGTATCATGGATGGGGGTGGTGTTACAGGTTCAGTAATGTCCCTGCAGTTTCATGGATGGGGGTGGTGTTATAGGTTCAGTAATGTCTCTGCAGTATCCTGGATGGGGGTGGTGTTACAGGTTCAGTAATGTCCCTGCAGTATCATGGATGGGGGTGGGGACACCATGTCAGGAACGTCCGCTGATGAGCCAACACTTTCACCACTTGACCACTCATGAAATCAAAGTACCTGAACTACATGTTCCTGAGAAAAATATTTATTTATTTGTTGATACTTTGTATTGAACAGGAAATATTAATCGTTAATTGGGAAATTCAGCTGATTATATTTCAGATAATGTTTAACACCAAAGGTGTTAGTCGAGGCTAAGTTTCCCAAGAGCCACCTGAATTCAGCTTTAATGGAAGCTGATGTGAAAAATCAATAAAACTTTCCATGACCAATAAACTTTCTATTGGGGTTGTTTTTAGACTTGACTGGATGAGACAGTGAGTCTGGAGATTCATGTTAAGGTGTATCAGTGGCAAGACGTACAGTTAATGTCACAAGCTCCATTAGCCCATGCTTTCTCAGTTCAGAATTAAGATATGCTGGTGTGGACTGGATAGATGGCCTTCATACATGCTGTGTCAATCACGACAGCAAGTCTGTCTGACACCACCACAGCGTTTCATCAGGAAAAAGTACATGTGGTGGGTTGTGTGGTGCGAGTATATGGATTATGAGTTACATGTGTCAACAGCGGGGTGTACAAGAGTTTTTACAACCTGTACTCAACGTTCGGCTTGTCTACTCTAGTATGGTCAATTAAGTGCAAACAGCAACAATTATGACATGAAAGTGAGAAAGTGACATCATCTCACCCACCCACTCCGGTGATGTCATAGCTAAGGGTGCAACAATACACCAATATTCCGATGCATCGCGATACTTGACCCACGATAGGATATACGATAAATGTAGGCCCATTTATTGATACGCCACGATACGGAACGCAAATCTCAAGTACAGCGTTTCCTCGCTATTGTGCCTTTCAATAAATCGCTAACTTGGTTATAGCAAGCGGTAACGTATGTCTCCCAAAAACGTACTTACATTTTTAATAAGCTCAGGTTTTACACCGACAGATCTTTTTCCGCATCTCAGCTGATCCCCGCAAGCACATAACAATGGAAATACCTGTCAGCAAATCCGAACTGAAGCACGCAATTCAATACCATTATCATACTATCTTGTTATTAAAACGTGTTCATTGTATATCTGGACTTGTGTTTGTAATATATTTTAATAGTTTTTTCAAAATTTCATTTAATATTGTTTTCATTAAGTTATGTGAAATCGTGTGTGAACAGATACAGCAACCACAGTCAGATTACCGCTTTTGACGCATTGAAACGAACTTCAGTTGCTATAGAATGGATACATATATTAAAAATGCCGTACTTTGACTCGTTAAAAGTCATATTTGTGGCAATTTGGCTAATATATGTCAACATAACGTTTTCGCAATTGAAATACATGTAGCACGGGAAGTCCCTAGGGTGACTGGTCAAATTGTTCCATGCGTAAAAATATCCTGCAACAGAAATCACCAGTACCAATATGCTACACTTGTGGTTCTTATAATTTTAAATATATATATAATAAAAGCTGCAACTAAGGTAACACGCTATTGGAATATATTATTCCTGATAAAACAATAATTTCAGATACAATTTCTTCGATCATTGCATCAAAATTCTTTGACGTTGTATCACTGGTGGAGCACATTAATTATTTTCTGGTGTTTGAACTTTGAATTGTTTTTAAGGAAAGTTAGAGAAAGTTCCACTTTGAAGCTGAACAACTTCAGTAGTCTTGTTATTATAAAACAATTTTGACTATTCCAAAATCATGAAAGGTGCAATCTTGACATGCTTTAAGTCTTGTTTT